TGAAGAGCTTTAAGAATAGTTTAGACAAACATCTGTGCAGAGTAACAGAGCTGCTGCAATTCCTGGTTTGGGATCTAGGTAACCCCACCCCTAACTCCAGTGATTGTATGGCATTGCTGTGAACACAAATCAAAATGCTTCCTTGACTATTCTGGACTCCAGCACTGCACTTTTCACAGCAATAATTTTCTCAGTTGTTTACCTATGATAAAGCCTGTTCTGTTACCTGAGCCTTGCAGAACTCCATTCAGGTGCTAATGATGAGAGGGAGAGGTAGGGGATGTGGGGGGGAGGTGCCCATGTGAAAGTGCTCCAGTCTCTGCCTCTACCTTCACTCTGTGTGTGACTAGCATGGCAACATTCTAGTTTTCTTGGAGCTAGTCTTACACTAATACTTTAAGAGATTAGGTGGTTTTCATATGTTTATTTCATAGAAAAAAAAGCAAAAATATGGGTAGTAGAGTTGGCAAATGCAATTAAAAGTTATCTTTTATGTCTTCCTTCCTCTCCCAAACAAAAAACAGTGAGTGATACGGGATTTCCTTCATAAAACAAAGTAGATTATCATTGTTACCAAACTTCTGCATTTTTTTAATCTTTGTTCATTTTTATTTTGTTCCGTAATAGATTAAAACTGTTTTCTGAGTCTTGCACTTCTGCTATTTCCTTGCGAGCACCTCAGTAAACTTTATAGGTGAATATCACAACAATCTGGAATCATGCTTTTGATCTGAGACATCTTGAATTCAGGTGCTGGTGTTTTTTTGAAACACAGGTAATGATTCATGCAGTAAGGTCAATTCCACTGCTTTAATAATGCTAATATGTTTAGTACAGTACAGTTCCCTGAGACTGTGGATTGGATGTCTGTCTCTACCGATGTAAGTGTGCCATCAGAAGTTACTATTCTGAATCATTCATTGCCACTCCTGAACTTGGGAGCCTCTGTTCCTCCTGAAACTCCCAATGGAGCTGCTCATGAGAACACTCCCAGCGTCACTTCGTTAGGATGATCTAAATGAATTCAAGCAGTAGGTATTTGCTGATCTAGCTCATTTTGACAAAAGCCTTTTAGACTATGTTTATGTAAGCAGTCAGATTTAGGAAATAGTATCTGGCAAAGGAGCAGTGATGAGCAGCAAAGGGTTGAGCTTGTAAATGTGTCCTTTTTCACTAACATGAGATTTAAATGCTTTGTCTGTCTGTTATACCTCCAGTGTAGCTGCGGTGCTGCTGATGATTTAGAGTTGGTACTGATTAAATTAGTCCTGTAAAGGAAGGAGAAATAATTTAGTACTTTTCTAGGAATTCATATAGTATTGTAGCTATCACTTAAAAATAATACAAAACTCCACAGTTCAAACTTATGTAATCGCTTAAAACAGTGTGTAAACAAAGATTTTAAAGAAGAGTTAAATAACATGATACTTAGCTTTGGACGTGCAATACTTAATTGATAATACCCAGTTTATGAACGTTTACTAAATTTTCAAAACTGGATTTCAGTGTATAATAAATATATATTATGGTATCTTTTCAGTATATGTATATAAAATTCATGGCAGTTTTGAAGGTTGCATTTTGATTTGTTTTGGGAGGATAGTATTTTATTTATCACAATTCAAAAATAAAGTAATTGGTTTAGTGGGGAAGAAGGAATTTATTTTCCTATCCTAGATAATGCCTCTAGAATGTCAAAACTAAATTAATGAAATTTTAGGAACAAAGTGATGTGTTAGAAAACTGGCCTGTATTATTTTGTTCAAAGCTCAACATTTTTAAATGTGCTACTGGATAATGGTATATAAAACTAAAAATGCTAAATGTACCTTCTTGTTCATTACCGTTTTTATGGTTTGTTTATGTCTGTGTGCCACTAAATGTTGAGTATCAAAAATCGAGTACTGAGCTTTAAACTGTCAACAGTAGCTTAGAAAGTATTTTCTATATGCTTATGTGATATTTTAGGATAAGCTTTAATGGTTTGGAAAACAGTAGAAAACATGAAAATGCAAACATCATTGTCATGTCAACATGTCATCATTTTTAAAGCATAGTGTTAAAACTTGGTATTTTAAGGAATTTGGACAGTAAAGAGAAGCTGCTATCATTTAGGAGTGCTGCAACAGCAGTATTTTTATATGTGAATTGAGTCTTATTTCAACATTTAAACTGATTTTACAGTAAGTAAAATGAAATGCTTTCCAGTTTAATGAAATGGAATTTTATGCTTTTAAGTTAAACCCTTCTGATTTGCTTCTGTGCATCAGCTGTATATTTGCGTTTTTGTTACGACCACTGTATATATAATGACATGCTCAGAATTTATGTCATTAGTTACTTTGAAGTCTCATTAAAAATTATCCTGGAAGTGGCTTGCATTTCCTAAGGTTTGGAATATTATTAGAGTTTTCAGGGGAAGACAATCTGGAAGATCCAGGTACTGGGAAGCAGCAAGCTATACAGAACAAAATAATTTCATTTGGGGCAAGGAATTATGTTTGTTAACACTTCGATTAAGGTGAAGGTTGGCCTTTTAATACGGAGTTGAAAACTTAGAGTTGAATGATGAGTTATAAAGTGAAAGTTTCTTGGAACTAGATCTTGCTTTTAGCTTTGGTTTTTTAGGAGACCATAAAGAAATTGTTTCGAATCATAAAGAAGTAAAGCATGTTTAGCAGCTGCCTGAGCCATATCTTCTACATGTTGACGCTGAATATCACTATTTTTGGGGGTTGATGTACACGGGAGGTAGATGGTGTCAAACCAGTGCCTTAGAGGTCATTGGAAAAGGCAGGCTGACCATGAAAATGGGTGTAAAGTTTGTGGCGGGGCTCTTGATTCATACTTGTGTCCTAAAGCTGAATCAGTTTCTATACAGGGATTGAAGTAGGGGGAATAAAATTAAAAACAAGCTAAGAAATATAGTAAAAGTTCAGGAAAAATACTCAGCAATCTATAGAGCTGTGATGTGTTATACTTCTGTAAGAAGGATCAGAAACCAGAGCTTGGGCACATGACCTCAAGCTACTCAATGCAAATGAGGGAGCATATCCTCAGGTTTTTGGCAAAAAGGCTTATTCGCTGTTCGAAGCATGCCTTCAACTAAACCAGTCTCTGAATGCAGTGCTAACTTTGGCAGTAGAAGAAATGGTTGGATGCTCTCTGAAGATTGAAGGCAATGAGGTAAGGTACGGCTTAAAATGAGTTCAAAGTGAAGGATCCAAACTAAGTCAGCAATTTAGATTTATATTATTATGAAATACTATCACAATTGTTTCTTTCAAGGTTGTTAAAAAGGAAACTAAGTGTATGCACGCTATCTTGTCCCTTTTACCTGATGCTGATAAAATATATTATGCTAGTGTGATGAAAACGTTAAATTATTGAGGATACAAGTTTTAACGCTGTGTAAAAGCTGTTTTGCTCAGTTTGTGTCTTTTTGCCCTTTGTAGGCTAATCAGAAAGTCAGACTTAGTTCATATAGTGCAGATCTTGTTCTCAAAGTAAAACTGTACATTTCTTTCCTGCATATAAATGGATGTAACTTTATGAATAATGGCGAATGTTTCTTCATGTTTCAATATTGTATATGCAAGGTGTTGCTAATTGTAAAGGGCTTGACAGTCTGCTCACTGGAATTGTGCTGGAGAGAAAATTTTGAAGAAGTATTTAATGCAAAACAAAGCCATTTGTCTAAGAAAAACCTGATTTACATGAAGCTGCCTACTCTGAACGGATTATTGATTACATTTATTTCATTTTATAGAATGACTATGGCTGCTTTGAAATCTCCAAGCCTTACTTTACCTTCCTAGGTATTCCTGCTATAGAAATGTATCGCTTGTACGCATATAGAAATTAGGGTTGGTGATACTTTTTCTTCTGTAATGCTTGGGGGAGAATTTGAAAAAAACCTTTGTCTCCTGATATGGAGTATCAGCCATGTACATGCTTAGAATAATTTTTTTATGGTCTGATTTCTTAAGTGGGAAAAGAGTTAAACTGAAAAATAGATGAGCATCAGATGTGAGCCCCAAGAGCTGTGGTTCAGAGTACTGAGAATATTTATCTTTGAAGCAAAAATCAGTTTTCAATCTGAGTTTTAAATCTAAAATTACATTTTTCTACATCCCTCCAGGCAGACCTCTTTATCCTTGTATGTGCTTTTCATGGTTTAGTTTTTTTCCCTTCTGAGGAAAAGTTTTAAGTTTGCCCAAGGAAGTTATACTTTTACATAGTTTTTGAATAATGTATCTTCCTAAGGACTGTAGTGGTAAAAAACTTTTCTTCAAATCTCCTTCCTTCTTGTCTCCCATAGAGACTTGCTTTTTTGAGAATTGGTCACTTCTTTAGGGAGTTTTTTCATAACTTGAAATGCAAAGGCTTCCAAAATGATAAAAGATAGGAATAACAGATAAAAAGATAGAGTTTGAACCTCTTCTTTTTTCCAAAAATGCATGCATACATTTTTAAAAGTTAACTTTTCTTTCTGATAGATTTTTATAATCATATCTTATAAAACCTTACTGATTAGAAACAGCTAGATTATTTTTTTCCTTAAAATGAGTTATTTTCATGAAATAACATGGATTTATGCTAAAGAATCCAAACCAAGGATTAAGACCTCATTTTTTACTCTGGAATGTTGTTCAGTAATCTTGAGTCCAGTAGTTTAGAGGATTTACAAATGCAGATACAATTCTGAGTTTTGTTTCTTTTGCTAAGTAAACAAACTCATCAATATCTGTTTGTAGTCTGGGATGTTATACTGATGTTTCAATTCCAGTTTGTTGAACTGAATTATTTCTGTATTTATCCAAAGTCTTACTCTGTCTCCATGCATAAATATCGCAGAATTGACCATCAAAATCTTTCTTATGGTCCAGAACTTGCCAAAATGTTTAATATATGATGCAGACTGTGTCATGCTCTTAGTTGTAGTATTCTAAGTTTACGTATATAACTGTTTACGATTTTGTTGCATTTACTAGGTTTGCTGGGATGGGTAATCTTCTTAAGGTCCTTACCAGGGAAATTGAAAACTATCCACATTTTTTCCTGGATTTTGAAAGTAAGTTCAAACAATTACAAGACAATGAGAGAATCTTTTCCCTGACTTAACAGCAAACTGAGGAAAAGCTTTTAAAATCTGAATCCTTGCAGTGTGTATTTTCCAGCACAACCAATGTGTCCAAGTCCTTGTCTCTAAAATCGGTTGTTCACTCAGGACTCCTTTTCTCTTCCTTTTCTATTTTTCAGGAACCAAATGGGAAATCTTTTAAAAGTTCTCACTTGCACAGAGCTTGATCAGGGGCCAAATTTTTTCCTTGACTTTGAAAGTGAGCAAAGCTTCTTGCCTGGCTTGCCTTCTTTGCTTATTATTTCCTAATAAACTGCATGCGCTTACGCATCATAAAGCAATTCAAAAGGGATTTGCAAACAAATCAAATTACACTTCAGTTGAATATTGCTTTTTGATATTTATAAAACCATACAAAATTACTTAAATTCATTCTGAGCAGAGAAGGAGGCAGAAAGGTAGATATGCAACTAAAACCTTACCTTGAATTAGTTTCAAAACATTTATGAGCCATTGTTAAATTTACATATGAATGAACTTGACCTCAGCTTTCTTTAACAAATCACGATTAAAAAAAAAAAGTCTTTATGTTGCTTCCTTGAATAGAAATATATATTGGAAAAAAAAAGCTGAAAAAAATGTAAGCAGTGGAGGTGGCACTATTTTTGCCTGGTTCAGTGATGTTTTAACTGGAGTTATTATAGTTTCTAAAAAGTAGTGAAGTGGTCAAAGTGTATGTGCTTGATTGCATCTCTCTTAATTGCATGGTTATCAGTTTGCAAAACAGTGTTTCACATTCTAATTTCCTGGTCACATGTGTATGTGATTCAAAGCTATTTCACTTTCGCTAGTTACGGTTTCCCTGCATGTACTTTTAGATATTGTCTTGAAAACTGGTCATCAAATCCTTAAATATGAGTTTAATCTTACTTCACTACTTACATGAAATGTGTTTTATTTAAAATACTAACAGTGGGTGATGTTTTGTCTCTTAACACATTTATTCTAAAATAGAAAAAAAAAGCAAAAAAAATTTGGGGAGAAGCCAGTGTTTTTAAAATAACTTTGTTTTGAAACATGGTTTAAGAAAGGATTTCAGGTGATTAGAGATACATTTTATGACCTTGAAATAGTTTTCTTGAATCATTTATTCCTGAATTATTTTTCTAAAAAAAAGTTACCAACATGATATGAGACTCTATGTGTGTACAGACTCTGAAGCACTGGTTCAAAGTCATTTAAACACATACTTAAATCTCCTGAAATTGTTCAAACATGCTTTCTTGGATGAGAACTAGGGTGTATGACTATATCTTTGCACATATCTTAGTCTTCTCATCTAGATCTTATTTACCTCATTGTGAAAATTCTGTTTTAAATTATGAAAAAAAAAGTTAATTGGTTAGTTTGGGTTTAGGAAAAGGTACTGTGAGCCATGTATCCCTTTTTCTCTTCTGTCTATATCATTTGAGAATTTTACTGTAAACCTGGGATGTCAAACCTTTTTCCAAACCACCACATGATTTTTTTCTATCAAACTTTCAAAGGCTTTGGTAGCATTCTGTGGCTTTGCGAAGCTATTACAAAGGTTTTCAGCTGTTTTGAGCTTCCAGATTTAATCAGCCTCATCATGTCCTGAACGGTAAGAAAATACTCCTGACCCAGGCTGCAGACTTGGCAGGAAACAGGTGATGTGGCAGTGGGAAGCCTTGATGGAGTGGAGGTGGTGATGAGAGGGGAAAATGTCTGTTTTATTGCCTTGGCAGCGAAGGTTGGTTTTTTGCAAAAGCGCATTGTCAGGAATTGAAAAGGGTGAAGCACCCTCTCCCATGGGACATTACCAGTGGTTTGTGCAGAGCACGTGGGCGCACTTGTCAGACACATCTACCTAGAGAGGAACAAAATTATAATTTCCAAATTTCAGTGAGTTTGATGCCACTGAGCAAAAGGTTAAAATGTTTTATTTATGAAATGAAGTCTTGGAGGTTTTTATGGCACGAAATCTGTATTGTGTCAAAGGGATGTGACTGAAGACGCCTGTAGTCGCATGCTTTGGTCTCCTTTAATTAGCCATCTTACCGTACAGTGTAAAAGGACAATCTTAGTGGACATAAATAGGAGCCTCCTTGCGTGCTCACTGGACGTGTGACTTTCTGTGGCCTGAGTTTTCAGTTTGAGTTCAAGGATGAAAATGGTCAATACAGTTGACCGTTCGGCAGATAAGGGGTAGTTGAGTTGATGTGTTTACTGTATTTCATTATTTGCATCAGCATATTGCTTTCTAGTTTTTGTGCACTTTCTCCTTAGCTGTAAGCTGAAATCTCAAATCCGTCAGCACTACTTCTAAAGTGTCTGTGGAGTTTTTGGACACTCCTGCCCTGGTATTTTTTTTTGCTGCTCTTCATTTGGTATGTATTGTACCTGAAAAAAGGGCGTGACATACTTCTTCCTGCTGTGCGTACAATGTGCCACACAAATACTGCTTAAAAAAACAGAAATAGCCATTTTCCTCGTACACAGGAGTAGAACAGATGCAATCTGTCTCCATGCCTCAAAAATCAGAGCCTTTATGGGCTGATGTTGGTCAAAAGTAATACACGTGTTTATATAAACACAGTGGGAAAAGAACATTAACGTGTTAACTTCATTTGACAGTTGATTTAATCTGTGCTGCTCCAAAGAGGTCATCCCATGGGTGATGTTTTGCCACGTAGTCTCATATCCTTATGCTAGAATTGAAATATACAAACACATGATTGTACCCGTCATGAATGATAGCTGTGTGGGAAAATGAACTTGCTAAGAACTAGCTGTTCAAAAAAAACCTCCACCAAACTACCACCTTACCTCTTTCCTCCACCTACTAAGTACTCTTCCAGTAAGGTCAGGGTGATGTGGATGATGGCAAGGTTGGAAGAGCCTCAGCAGTGGCACATGAATGGGAGCAGAAGTGCAGGAGAGGATGGCAAGGAGTTGTACATGTTTAGGTATCTTAGGTTAGTCATGAAGCTACACAGTAAGGTCAGCGTAGTAGGTTTTTATTTTATTATTTTCCCTTATTATTTTTAATTAATAGACATTTTGTAGGCAATGTGTTGTAAGGATGAGTTGTTCTGTGCAACAAAAATGAATTTATTTTCTTGAGAATTACTGTTTTCCAGGGCAGAAATCTGTTTTGATGAAAAATTTGAGGACAATCTTGTATTGCATCTTTTGAAAAAATCCATTATGGGTTTTTGTTTGTTTTAAAATATACTTAAGTACAGGTTGCTTTTCATCAGTTGCATGCTCACTTTTCTCTTACATACTTTTCTCTTACATGCTTTTCACCAACCTGATTTTTTCATATGTAGCCTTAGTCCCTCCAGTACATCTCTTATATTGAATTCTTAAGGTCTTGAAAAATGGGCAGGTAGAAACAGGAACACTTAGAAAAATTAAGTTTTCTCACCTAATTCAAAGTTGTGGGTTTTTTTCAAATTCTGCCTTGTGCTATATTTGAAAATGGGAAAGAATCATGAAAGAAAAAGAAGTAAGTTTCAAATTTTCACCTTCCAGTTTTTTGGTTGTTTTTTTGTTGGCTTTTTTTGTTGTGTTTGGGTTTTTTTTTTAATAGCTATTTTAATTTTTCCCTAGAAAAATTTAGGCTACGAAAAATTTGTTTAAAATCATCTTTTTTCCCCCTCCCTTTCCTGCAACTGTCTATATCATCAGTTGCAATTCTTATGACACCTTTTACTGGCGTTATTCTTCATTCCAAACTGGGAACCAAGTTTTGTAACTCCATGGTCATACTTGAAAAAGCTTGAATACAGCATTGATTTCAGTTAATGTTGTATAGCAAAAGCAGTTCTGTATGCTCTCCAGTAATCATTTTAGAGTTAGGCAGTTACTCTGGATCTCTGCAAGGAGAAGCAATTTGAAGATTATTAAGTCCAGCCTTGAGAGCAAACAAAGTCAAATGGGAACTGTGGTAACTTCAGCAATGATATGGAGAATAGTGTTCTATGCAGGTGAAAAAGCCTTTTCTCTGAGGTCAAATGCAAACTATATGCATTCAGCCAAATTACTCTTTTTTTCTCTTTTTTTTTTTTTTTTTTAAGGCCTACTGAAATTTTTATGTAAAGAAAAAGAATCTCTTCATTTGCGGAAAGCAAACCATATTGTTGTTTTACACTTGTATCTCGGTGTGAGTATTCTTAATCAAACTGCTACATATTGGATTTGATTACATACCACTTATTTTACCTGAATTCCTTCTTAGATCTCAACAGGAAAATAATGTTAGGAAGAGTGAGTGCATAGCAAGTCTTGAGAGTCTGTGGATTTCAGGATTTCACGAACCCATAGAGTGAATTCTCTTGAAATGGATTTTGTCAGTTCAAGAACTGCTTTATTCTTTAGATGTTAACCTTGTTTAAATTAGTCACAGGTAAATGAACTCTGCATATTTGAGCCTTTTTCCGTAGCAGCTTTCAAGTGTTCGTTTTTACAAGAAAATGTATTGTCAAAGTACTGCTGCCCAAAGAGGGCCTTTTTCAGGCAGAGTAAACAAATAATTCCATGTGAATTCTTGGAAATAATTTGAAGGTTGAGATAACAACAATTTGTTTTGAACCTGAAAGACTGAAGCTTATAGATTATTGGGAGGAGGTGTCCTTAAGTGATACCTTCAGTGCCGTCCTCTCCTCGGATACAAATACCTTTTATAAGACCAAACTCTCTAACCTTAGCCTGAGCAGATTCCCTTTTTTCCTAAATGTTAACTAGGTGGGGTTGTTACCTGATTCTGATTTAATCCCCGTCATCCCCCCCAAGAATCAAGGACACTTGTTTTCTAGGCTTCCTCCATCCTCCCCATCCCCAGAAAGATTCATTAAATTTTCAGTTATTGTTGTTCATGTATGATTAAAAGTGTCTGTTATTAGAACGTGTCTGGCAGCAAAGCAACTGCCCACTTTTTGCGTAGCAGGATATTAAGACCCTTGCTCCACAGGCAGCAAGGCTGGAGATGTAATCTGTATCCAGCCCGCGGGAGGTTAAACTCTTGTCTCCCACACTGCAGAGTGCCCTAAGCAAGAAACTACGGCTCCGTCGGAGGGAGGCTGCCCACTCTGTGTCCACCACAGAGCTGAAGTCTGGCACTGGTACCCCTGGGACAGCACCATGCCCATAACAAGTATTAACAATTTAGGGAGCTTCACTTTGTTCTAGCTGGTTTAGAAAGGATGAAATTCAAAAATCCAGTGTAGACTCTATAGGGTACTCTTTCTACCTAATACTTTTCTTTTTAGTGTATGGCATATAGCAGGTTCTGATACCCTCTAAAATGCATTAGTCATTGTAGCTGTAATGCCTTTTGTCTTTTCTAAGGACATAAACTATCTTTTCATCTAATTTTGTCCCAAATTGGAATGGGAAAAATCATTGTCATGGTGCCAAACCTGAAATAGGACTTCAGCATTTTATACAGTAAAATGTATGTACTGCTCTCTAACTTGCTGTCAGTGGCTGGTGGAATTATTGACCACCTTCAGCACTGGAGAGGACAAGACAAGCTGGAAGCAGAGCCTGTAAGACAACTTATTTTACACTATTCTTTCGCTAGGCTGTTGAGGCCAGGAGGGTATGATGTTTTTTTGACAAATAGGATTCCACATTCACTGAAATGCAAGCACTAACCAGCTTCAGTGGGAATCCTTAACCTGCAAGCAGTTTGAGGGTAGAATAAAGTTCTGTGCTTTTGATCTGCATTTCAGATTCAGGAAGGGGGTGTGGGTTGGAAGTGCTTCTTTTAGTACTGTCTTGTTATCTCTTCATAAAAACTAATTACTGAGATATTGTTATACTTGATTTTGTACTGGTAAAGGCTTCATATCTATTCTTTTATATATAATCTTGTCCTATGAGTCCTGGTGTCTTACCTACATAGCAGTTCGTATGATTTTTTCTAATGCACACTTGGTGAAGAATGCACTGTTAGGGTTTTTTTTGAAACAAATGACAGGTATTTTTCTGAGAAAAGAATGATGATTCTACCTTCGCACCCTACCGTGCACCTGAAATATTTAATGCATCCACAAATGGATTGTAGTGGGTCCAGCTTTCCCCCTTTTTTTTTTTTTAATAAAGTCTGGAGCCATATGCAGAACATGGAATAGACCATGTGCAAACATGAAAGAGAACATCTGTTCATGGAATGGATGAATTACCATATTCTGGTTATTTCTGATGGAGCCAATGGAATTACATTTCTCTCCAGAGCTAAAATTTTTGCTTTCTAAATGAAAATTTGCTGGTAGAATCTGTATGTGGAAGAGTCAAGCCTGGTATGACTCTGGAATTAATTTGATAGAGGATTCATTTAGTTGTCAGGTTTAGGGTTCATATTAGAAACATTTGGGCAAAGGGAGGTGAAAGGGTTTCCTATTTTGTCTTATTAAAGACAACGTACTCCAAATGCTAATCATAAGTACTTTAAAAAACTCAGACTTGAAATGCAGTAAGTCCAGTGATTATGGTAACTTAGTATTGAGAGGGCTTGCATTCAATGTGGATTAGCGAGTGGCTATGGTTTCATTTATAAATGAGCTCAAACAGCTTAAGTGCATCCCAGTCCTCTGGTGGTATGGGGATAAGAGGTGAGCACTGCCAAGCAGTGATTCCACATTGATTCAGGAATGGCATTTTTTTTACTGAGAACAGAGAAACAAACTTTGATATTGTTGGAGTAGAAAACCGATTTCAAAAGTGAAAATCTGTCATGAAGATATCTTTATTCCTTTTAGTAGTTGTTGCTATTATTATCGTTGTTGACAGCAAGATGAAATCTTTTTCAAAGTGGTCGATTTCAGGTATTTATCTGACTAATTTTGGCAAGATCATGTAAAATCCCTTTTGAAACATGACCATGGTCTTATCAGAACATCTGTTTGCATAACATATATTTCATATGTAAGATGCATGTGTTTTTTTTTTTTTAAAAAAAAGCCTGAATCATCCTCCCTACCTTTATTTTTAAGCTAAAAACTTTCAGCATAAATATAAACTGCTTCTGCAAATGCAAGCTAAGCCTGTTGCTCTGTAGCCTTTGTAGCCCATTTCCTCTCCCTTCCCTTTCTTTCCCTCTTCCACCCACCTACCTTCCTTTTCCTCCTACTTCCCCAGGTGCTGGGATACTACAGAAAGCTCAATGGGTTTCAAATATTCAACCTTCCCCCAACTTCCAAAAGATGAATTGGGAAATTTTGAAAAATACTAACAATAAAGGGTGTTACTAAAGGCCATTTTTAAGTCCCAAAGTGCTGAGCAGTCTATAGTGTTTACATTTCTATGAAGGGCTAATGTTTTTTGAAGCAAATAAATTGTATAAAGTATCATAGAAGTACATTGTTAACCAACCCATGCTTTAGCTGACCTGAACATGCAAATTTTACACTCATGAACTGTACTAATAAATTACTTACTCTCTTTTGTGTCTTAATATTCACTGAAAATGTTATTTTAATTAACTTTTATTTAACTATTAAAATATAGATGCTGATTTATAAGTGACTCCTACCTTCCCCCTAATCTGTTGTTCTATGGCATGTAACTGTTTAGCAAGATTAACACTTTTTTCGTTAAACTCAGAAGCATTTACTGTTTTGTTTCTTTATCACAAGGTGCCAGACCCCTTACAGTGTATACCTGAGATTTCTTGCAGCTTGGGGAAAGAGCCAGTCAGTAACCCTGTAAACTTAATGTGACTAACAGGTCGGTTCAACAGCCATGTCCCAGCTGGGATTTTCCTGTTCGGGATAGTTTTTCCCTTTGGTGCTACTTTCCTTCGTTTTTTTGAAGGATAGTGGAATTTTTTAGTTATATGAAGTATTTTGGATATAAAACCTAGATGAGTAAGCCCAGCTTATTTTTACTTTCACTTGTTCTGTCTTTTAAACCGGATTAGGGAAAACTTCCAGAATAAAAGGAAAGTCAAATCAGTATTGTTTCATGTGACCAGTCTCATGGGACTCATGGTGACATAGGAATATAGGAAAGATTTTAAGTAATAGTCGCTTCAGAGCTACAGGCATGGAAATCTCAGCCATTTGTGTCTCGTTCATGCAAGGTGCATAGATAACTTGACACATTTAAACAAATTATCCTAGCCTGAAACATCATGGAGAGAATGCGTGCTCTTTCCATAATCTCCAAGGTGAACTGGTTCATTTGTTTCTAATGTTGGGTAGGTAAATGAATCCTGTACTGATATATGGGTGAAAAACTGTGTCTCATTTCTTAATGACAGTGAGAAGGCTAAATAGAAAAAGTATTTTTAATATTTCTTGTCTATTAATGTAGAGATGCATACAGTAGCTCTTCCTAATCGGTGAGTTTTGAACTGAAGGTATCCCATTGCTTTTAATTCAAACAAGTAGTCCTTAAGTCCTAAGATTCACCTTTAAAGTATTTTTTTTTCTTCCATAAAAATTAAACTTCTGTCTTTAAAAGCCAATACAAATTTAAGGAAAAAAAAAAAAAAAAAGTTGTTTCTCTGTAGAACTCTGCTGGGACAATGTCATTGTTTCTACAAATGCTGACTACAAGTCTATATATAGGTCATCCAGTCTTTAGTCGGTGCCAGTCGTCTTTATGGTTTGAAGCAAAAGGAGGCAGAAGATCTCTACCTTATCTAATGTGTCGATGTTCTAGGGATAACATCACTCCCTGGTGTCCCACTGCTGTGAAAATCCCATCGGATGGGATTTGAATGGGAAAATTGATCTACTTCCAAATGTCATGTCTCTGAACAATAAAGGTCTACAGGTCACTCCCACCCTGAAAACTGATCATTGACAGAGCTGAATTTATTTTAGTA